GAGGCAGGAGACTTGCTTGAGTCTAGGAGTTGGAGGTTGCTGTGAGCTGTGATGCCACAGCACTCTACCCAGGGGGACATCTTGAGGCTCTGTCTCAAGAAAAAAAAAAAAAAACCCAAAATAAGAGCCTTGAATGCCAGGATAGGATTTAAGTTAGCAGGCAGCAGGAGTTTTGAAGGTGTGAGTATGGAGTGGCTTTTATCTAGTGTTTTGGGCAGATTGAGTTGATAGTAAGAGATTGGAGTGTGTAAGGGCTAAGACTAATTGGACAACTATTCTAATAGACCTGAAGTGAGCAGTAGAAAAGAAGGTATGGGACTGAGACATGCACAGAATTTGGTGATTGAATTAGGAATCTTAGATTTTGGGGAAAATGAAGTAATAGAGGAAAAGGAATGCAGGAGTGCTCTGGTTTGAGACAAAGTAATTACATTTAGTAGTATACATGTTGGATTTGAGGTGAAGGCAGGATACCCAGATGGTATACTGTGAGCAGCTATTTATGTAGAGAGAGGTCAAGGTAGGAGGTATTTGATTTGGGTGCATGTGTGTAGGGGACAAAAACAGAAAGCCTGTAATCTTCGTCTTATTTGGTTAAACATTGTTTAAAAATAATAAACATTGATTTTAAAAATCTGTAATATAGGTCGGGCAAGGTGTCTCACACCTGTAATCTTAGCACTTTGGATGGCCAAGGCCGGTGGATTGCCTTAGCTCAGGAGTTGAGGATCACCCTGAGCAAGAGTGAGACCCCATCTCTACTAAAATAGAAAAACTAGCTGGTCATTGTGGTGGGCACCTGTAGTCCCAGCTGCTCGGAGGCAGAGGTAAGGATTGCTTGACCTCAGGAATTTAAGGTTGCTGTGAGCTAGAGTGAGACTCCGTCTCCAAAGGGGGAAAAAAAAAACTGTAACATAAATCTATAAAAGCTTGTTTCCTAATTGTTCACTAATGTATCAAAGTTGAAAGGAGTATCAAGGTGGTTGGCCTGTCCTTCACTAAGTGGACAGATCAAACTCTAGGTTGACCTTTGCCAGAGCTCTAAGATTTAGTTGTGCTGTGCAAGTCAACAGGTGTTACTGAAAGCTTACTCTGTCTTATGTTGAGCCCTGCTATCATAAGGAACCATATCCTGACTTACTGAGCAGTTTTATCCAGGTCAGTTAGCAAATTTTAGTTAATAGTATAAGATATCAAAACCTGTTTCTTAGCCTTAAGGCCTGAACCAGTGACCTGACTTAGAATTGGCATTCATCATCATAGTTCTGTAGGGTTGTACACAGGAGATAATGAACAACATTAGGGAATTTGGGAATAGTTGGCCTGTTGCAGTTATGGGCCACCCACAGATTACTTATTCTGCATTCATTATAGTATATAGTAATTTTCTGGTTTTAATGCTGATCTCATCTTTTGGACTGAACTGTAAGACTGTAACTGTAAGGGTAGAAAGTGTAAGATTTTTTCATGCCCCTTTCTCAGGATGTATTATGAAACTTTTGTGTTGATTCAGAGAAGGCCAGGAGTTTTTCAGTTTTGCATTCAGGTAAAGGGGTAGATCTTAACAGCTTAGCTGTCCTCCTGGGAAACACATGGCAACAGGGAGAGAGAGGCCACTTGAACAGGCAGGGGTGATGAGTATAGTACGTTAGAAGAGTGTAGGAGCATATCTCTAGGTTGAGAATCACTGCTCTTGTCAGCTACTTTTACTGATAGAAGGGGCAAAAGGGGTTCTGATCTGGTACGTTGGAGTGGAAGAAAAGGTTCAGAACCACTGATATGTAGAAACATTTATTGAGCATTTAAATGTGTTCTGAAGTATGATACTTCTTGTATTACTTACAGCACTTTTTTTTTTTTTTTAAAGACAGAGCCTCAAGCTGTTGCCCTGGGTAGAGTGCTGTGGTGGCACAGCTCACAGCACTTTCCAACTCTTGGGCTCAAATGATTCTCCTGCCTCCGCCTCCCAAGTAGCTGGGACTATAGGCACCCACCACAACGCCCTGCTATTTTTTTGGTTGCAGCCATTGTTGTTTGGCAGGCTCTGCTGGATTCGAACCCACCAGCTCGGGTGTATGTGGCTGGCACCTTAGCTGTTTGAACCACTGACAGCACTTTTTGGGAGGTGGGAAGCAGAATCTGGTTTTGAAGTCAGTCTTTTTGATTCCAGTGCCCATCCTTTATATGTACTTCTGTCTCCCTAGATAAGACAAACCAGACAAAACTATTGTAACAAACAAGCACATTCCAAGGTCAAATAATTATTTTACTGTAATTTTGCTTAAAGCTTGGAGATTATAAATTTGGTAATAATATGAATACAAATATGTTTGACTTTTCTCCTATAATTGCAAGAATTCTTTTCTTTCCCCCCACAAGAGCAGTAATGCTAAAAGTTCATTTTTTTTTTCTTGTTCTGTTCTAAGTAATGTTGGGAAACTTAACTCTGTAGAGACAAAATGACTCTACAGAGCTGGTCTTATTGCTAGCTCATTCTGCCATACTACTGGGCTATTATTCCTCCTTG